CCAGCACTTGGACAGCTGTTGCAGGAGGATAGAGAGTTCAAGGCCAGCCTGAGCTACTTACTTAGTGAGACCCTGTCTTGAAAAATAAAAAAAATAAAAAATCCAGGAGTTCCACTTTGAGGTCTTTAGGATACTGCAACCTTGCACAGGCTATGTAAAAGGAGGTTCAAGCAGCACCATGCATACTAGCAAAACACTGGAAACACCCCAAATGCCCACTACCAAGAGCCTGAGTAAATTAACTGCCCCAGGCACAGCACTGAACCAGCAGTGAAAATTGGAGGTAGGCTCAGGCTTCTGTGTTCTGACATGGAAAGATGCCCACAATTTACTCAGGAAAAAAACTCAAACCACAGAATCCTAGAACAGGATCTCTTTTTGTAAATAAAGCTATATGAGTGTGTACACTTCGAGAGGTACGTTTGGAAATGATGACAAGCCAAACAAATGGTTTCTTCCAGAGAGCGATTATAAATGGAAGATGGAGGAGCTCTCACTTTTCTTACTTTCCCTCCTTAACTGTGCATAAATTAATTTGTCTATCAGAAAAAGGTTCTCTAAGCCATTGGCTCACACCTGTAATCCTAGCTACCCAGAAGGCAAAGAAAAGGAGGATCTCGTTCAAAGCCAGCCCAGGCAAGTAGTTTACGAGACCCTATCAAAGAACTGAAGAACCCACCACAAAAAAAAAGGGGAGCTGGCAGAGTGACTCAAGTGGTAAGAGCACCTGTCTAGCAAGCATGAAGCCCTGAGTTCAAACCAGTAACGCCAAAAAAAAAAAAAAAAAAAAAAGTTCCCTAGACTTTGGAGTTCTCAGGCAAACAGGAGTGACTACAGATGGGTTTAGGGTTTATTTCAGAGAGATGAAAATGTTCTCAAGCTGAGTGTGGGGATGGTTGTAGGAGTATGCCAATATATTAAAAACCACTGAATTGTACACTTTCAGTGGGTGGATTATACAGTAGGTGAATTATGTCTTTATAAAGTTGCTAAGGGAAGGGAAGGAAAAAGGGAAGGGAAGAGGAGAGGAAAGGAAAGAAGGAAGGAAGGAAGAAAGAAAGAAAGAGAAAGAGAGAAAGGGAGGAAGAAAGGAAAGGAAGGAAAAGAAGGAAAGGAAGGAAGGAAGGAAGGGAGGGAGGGAGGAAGGGAGGGAGGGAGGGAGGGAGGGAGGAAGGAAGGAAGGAAGGAAGGAAGGAAGAACTAGCCAGGGGAAAGGTAAGCCCAACAGTAGGGCGGAGCACCAGGAGCACAGGTGCTGGGAAGTCTGCCACTCCCACAGCACACCTTACTGGGCATGTGGGGGCGGATGGTATGTGATGGGGGAGAGGTGGAGTCAATGGCTGAGTCCCTCAGGCTGTTCTAGAGACAAGGGGATTCCCCCAATGCCAGCCTTCCTGCCAAGGGCACAGTGCCCAGCGCCCAGCCGTGCAGCCCTCCACCCCCACCCCCACCTGAGGCATCTTGGTTTCTGTGGCTCAGAATATTTGCATAGAATCCCTCAAAGGGCTCAAAACCCACACAAGAGCCCAGACACGCTCTCTCCTACTAGTCCTGTCCACTGGGTCACATGGAATGGGTAGGCTGGCCTAATTTAGCCACCTGTCCGAGATCTAGTTCCTTCACTGTTTCTACAGGTCCTTTATCACTGTCCTCTGGACCCACTCCGGACAGCCCACATCTATCATACACATTTGCCAAGGCAGAGGGAACACCAAAATCAAGGCTTATGAAACCCAGGTGGACTCTCAAAACCAGAGAACCAGCCATCCTGCTCCTAGCAACTGGACAAACCTCAGAGAAGCCACAGCTGCCACTGCCCCTTCCCCCCTTCCAAACACTAGCCACTCATCTTACTCACCAGAGAACCAACTACAGAAACTGAAGGACAATCTCAATAATAAAAGCAATTGTTTGCTGAGCACTTTCTTCACCTCCCTGCCCTCTCCCCAGTACTGGGCTGAGCACCTTATCTACATTATATCATTAAATCTTCCCAGCAGTGCCTAGCAAGCAACTACTGTTAGTATTCCCAATTTATGGACAAGAAAACTGAGGTTCCAAAACAAGGCTTTAGCCATGTCTGTAATCCCAGCTACTCAAGAGGTGCAGGCAGGATCTGAGTAAAGAGGCCAGCCCCAGGCAAGTTTAGCCTATCTTAAAAACAAAAACTACAAACAAAAGGGCTGGGGACAAGGCTCAAGTGGTAGAGTACTTCCCTAACACGTGAGGATGCCCTGGATTCAATCCCCAGTACTACAGCAAAAAGAAAACTGAGGTTCAATGGAAGGAAGGAAGGAAGGAAGGAAGGAAGGAAGGAAGGAAAGAAGGAAGGGAGGGAGGGAGAAAGGAAAGTGAGATAGAGATGCTGGCTCAAAGTCATGCTAACACACTGTGGTGTCTGTGTTGGGGACTTGAGCAGGCTCAAGTCTGGAGACCTGTAGGGTCACCTTCAGAGCTGGAAGGTGACACACCCCCTTCGATTCACAGCTAGGGAAACAGACCCAGGGAGAGTAAGTGGCCTGCCCAGGGCTCCATTGGCCTCCTGGCTCCCAGGCCAGGATACCTTCCTCTTTCCTCACTAAAGTAGGAGGGAATCATCTGCTACCAGCTCCATGGGCTGCTGCTGTGGAACAAGCCCCTGCTTGCCAGAGCTTTTGAAATCTCAAGATAAAAGGTGCCGGGGCAGCAAAACAGCACCTTGGATAGGAGCACGCTTGACCTTTGCCAGGACTTGCAAGCTGGCATTCACCTGCTCACCTGCATTGCAAGGCTACTGGCTAAGCTGCAGCACCCTACCAGTTCTGGGAGCTCAGGGCACTGTGAAAAGTGTTGTTCCCAAAGCTGACACCTCTACGGGGGTAGCCCCAGGTAGGGAGGGCTCTGGAATTTTAATTGTCTGCCATGGAGGAGCCCAGCACTCCCTGGGCAGGGTGAAGAGGGTTCATGGGTGGCTGAAGGTGGAAAAAGCACACCCTCATTCCCTTCACACAGAGTCCTACGGCAGCTCACTTCCTCTGGAGAGGGCAGGGAGGCTTTTGGGCTCCCCTCCTTCCAGCCTCCCCCCTTGCACTTCAGGAGCCCCCTCAGGTGAGCCTGCTCTGGAATCTGAGGCATCTTGAAGGGGGTTATTTATAGCACAGAACTGCTGGGAAGAGAGGTCGGCAAGCTCTGAGTGGGCACAACCCTCTTCTTCCCAGCCTGGTATCCACAAAACAAACCCAGCCCTCTCCAGCAGAACACACTTAGCTTTAGTGGCTCAACCTCCACCCCTGGAAATGGCCGGGGGCGGGGGGGCGGGGGGGGGCAGAGTGGGTGGCAGTTCTCAACCCAGGAGGTGGGAAAGTAGCAGAGCTGGGTGTGGGGAGAGGAAAAACCCCACTGAAGCATGGTATACCCCACCCGCCTGGTAAGGGGCCCCAACAGGAGGCCCTGAATGGAGGGACTGTTACAGAGCCCCAGGAGGTTGCCACCAACAGGGAGGGGACAGGAAGACTCCACCCAGCCCTTCCTCCCAGAGTCCAGGCCTTGTCCTACAAGGAGGCCTTCCAGGACTTAACCCTCACTCAGCTGGTCGGAGGCAAGAGAGGATCTGATTGTTTCTCTATCACTCCTAATAGGCCTGGCACAAAGGGAAACTCAGGCCACTTGCCCAGGACTACAGTCACTAGGCATGCCTTCCCCAGCATCTCCTTTGAGCCCAGTCAGGGTGGGACCCTGGGGACACGGCGTTAAGGGACACCCGGTCTATGCTCTCAAGGGGGTCTCTGCTATCAAAGGCGTATGGAGAACATGGCTGAAAACTCTACAGGACATCAAGGACAAACACAGGTAAACCTGTACTCTGAACTCACTAGACAAGGAGGCAAATGAAATAAGAGGAATTGTCTCCTCTCCAGGATCTGCCGCCAAATCTACCTGGCCAGCACCCCATGTATCAGTGCCTCCTGAATGCCAGGCCCTGTGCTAAGCAAGCTACAAAAACTGTGGGTCTCCCCACAACCCATCAATAAGGACCTCATTTCAAAGAGGAGAAAATCAAGGCACTGGGACATTTATACACCTAGGCAGCAAATGCTGGGATTCCACCCAGGGCAGCCCTGCTGCCCTGCCCTGCCCTGCCCTGCCCTGCCCTACCCTGCTCTACCTGGGGAGGTCAGCCAGAGCCGATTTCTCCAGCAGCCTGAGATTCTCACCACATCTCCCATTCTCCTGAAGGAATTCAGCACCCTGGGCTCCCTCACAAGCCATGGGGCAGCTCCCTTCTGAGAACTGGCCACCATACAGCGACAGACTGAGAATAGGACTGGCTGAAGGAAGGTGCACGGGGGAGGCTAGGAAGTGGCCCTGAGAAGTCTTCTTGGGCCTTGACCAGCCTGCCTCCTGGTCCCTGCTACCAGCAGGAGTGCTCAGCTGAGTCTGAGCTAAAGAACTGGGACCGCACCCCCTCCAGTGCCCCCAACATCTCCAGCCCCACTCTCTAGGTTCAGTCTTGGGCCCTAAAGGGCCCTTCTCCTGGAAACTTCGGCCACGTGTACGGGGGTGTGCTGGGGACAGGACAGCTAGTAGGTGGGGTGGGGGGGTTGCGATCAGGGCGCTCTGGCTGTGAGAGGCAGATTCCAGAAAGGATAGATGGTGGTATTGAAAGGCTGGGCAGGATGGGGGTGGGAGGTGCCAGGCTGCGACCCCTTCGAAGCTCGACCTGGGTTAATAGGTCCTGGGATTCTACCGACCAGGCTCCAAGAGGGTTCCGGTGTGTGTGGGGGGTGGGGGGGGGGCGTCCGATTATCCTCAAGAAGAGGAAGGGAGGGCACAGAACAGGGCAAGAAGAGGTGCCCAGACTTGGAGGGAACAAGCTCGGTCGCGGTACACGGTCCCGCCCCGCCCTGGGCCTGACTCTCGGAGGACCCCGGCCCAGCAAAGCCCACGGGCCGGGTGGGGGCGTGGCCCGGGGGCTCGCACCTGAACCCCCGGCGCGCGCTGCGCTGCTGCGAGGTCCTCACCTGCGATGTGCTGGCGCCGAGCGTCGTCCAGGTGTGTGGACAGCACGTCCCCCATGGCGAGGAGGAGCCCCGGCCCGATCCGGCCACCGCCCGCCGCTGCCCGCGCTGCTCAGACGCACGCCGCAGACGCCATGGGAGCCCGGCCCGCTCCGTCCCCCGTTCCACCGCCTCAGGCTGCGGCCTCCGCTCGCGCTCTGCTGGGTTCCGCTCGGGCTCCAGCTGCGTCCCTCCCGCCGGACGCCTCAGCCTCCCGCGCCCGCCAGCCCAGGCCCCGCAGCCCCGCCGCGCCCCTCCCCGCCCCGCCCCTCCCGGCCCGTCAGGCCACGCCCCCAGGCCCGAGCTCCGCCCCCTTCCCCGGCAGCGCGCGGGCGGGCGGGGAACGTCCGGACCGCGGGGAGACCAAGACAAAGAAATGGTCCTCGGAAGGGAGACCCCAGAGAGACGAGTCCTAGACCTGGAGTCAGGCGAACAAAGGGACTGCTGGGGGCATCGGAAAGAACGGGGCGTCCCGGGTGCTTCAGTCTGGGGTCTCCCCTCCTTAAGCTGGGTAGGACGTTGGGGACTGGAAGGGGGCGCCTAAACAGACAGGCTGGAATTCGGCGTTCGTCTCCTCGCCTCCCACCCCCTGCTCCCTGTCCTGCCGCCGCCCGCACTCAGGAAGTTCCCTGGCCTTGATCGGACCTGCCCCAGAAGGTGTGCCGGCCCTTCTTGCACAATAGCTAGGGGCGGAGGGGGAGGGGATGTGAGCGGGGTTGGGGGGGGCTCTCGGGCGCAAAGGCACCAGGACCCCACTATCAGGCGGGCGTTCCTCAGGCCCAACATATGGGCACTTCACTCGGAAACCGGCTTGTGGGGACAGAGTGTGTCAGGAATGGAAAATGTAATCGCACTTTACAGTTTTCAAGACTGTTGGAATGAAAAGCCAGGAATCTACATGGACTTTGAGTACTCGGACCGTGGGGCTGGGCATGGGTGGGTCTCTAGTACAGAGAAATGTGGTTCCATTTCAGGACCTCCCAAGCTGGTAGAGGAGACAGCTTAACAACTGTGACCCTCCAAATCTTGGACTTGGCTGCTGGTGCTCAGATCTGAGGAGGGCCACCCTGTTGCTACTTGCTAACCTCTGGTGAAGGAGCACTCACCACTTTGTACTACCACCCCGTTATTGGCAGGTTGACTGGCTCTCACTGTGATCTAAGGCAGCAAATGAGGATCATAACAGTTACCAACTGAGCACCTGTCCTTAAGCCTGTCACCACCACAGGAGATGTGTTTGGAAAGAATTGGAGGTGTTACCAACCCTTAGTCATGCATTCAGTCATTCACCAGTCATTTCACAGCTAAGCAGCAACTATCCATTTGCCAGACACTCTGCAAGATGCTAGGGGTGAAAAGATGAGGAAACCTAAGCTGCCCTGCCCTCTGTGGCCTTGGACACAAGAGGCCTCCGTTTCCTCATCTGACAAGTTAGAATGATGATGCTGTGTTGGAAGGATTAAACAAAAGAACGAAGTGCCTAGCCTGGTGCCTGGCATATGGCAGGTCATCTCTCAATAAACAGAACTGTCATTCTATTATTCATCTCAGTCCTGCCCTCCAGCGGGTAGAGAAGCTTGAGGAAGGATCAGAACATTCTGTTTTGAGGACAATCCCAGAACTAGTACCAGAACTAAAAGCTGAAAAACAAGAATTGTGACAGCAGATACTGGGGAACAGCATTCCAGGGAGTGGGGCCCTTGTGCAGTCAAAGGCCCAGCCTCTGAAGAACAGGGTGCATTCAGGCAGCAGAGAGTCATCAGGTGGAGTTGAAATCACTCTGGCAAGGATTACTAGTTTTCTTGTGCAGAGGTAGCCCAGAGAGGGAAAGTGACTTGTCAAAGTTGCACAGTAAAGACAAGGCAAACATGACCAGAGGAGTCTCCTAAGCACGTCATGTTCTCTGAGCAGCCAGAAGCAAGTGATGCTGCTAACCTCATTGCATTTTTCCTACAGCTCCAACTACCAGAGCTAGGAAAGCCTGCTCTGCCCTGTCAGCGGAGGGCTGGAGCCAGCTGTCTCCTCTGCCAGGCTGGAAGCCTGGGTTGAGTAGGGAGAGGTAAGGTCACAAGGCCCCTTAGCCTGGATCATGCCTGGAACCTTCCCTCTTGGTTTAGGAGCTCTTCTGTCACATGTCACTCATGACAGAGCAGCTATAGCCTCAAAAGTGGAAAGGCATTATGAACTGCAGGGTGCTATGCATGCCTGTGAATAGCTTCCCACCAAACCTTAGGGCCAGTCCGTAACAATTCAGGATTCATTCAGTGTATGCAAACTATCATTCTCTAGGGTGGGGCAGAGGCTATCAGCTACAAAAAATTCTGGAGGAAACTGGGGGAGGAAAGAAATGGTCTGCTTCGTAGGGGAGTGGTAGGAGCACACACTTGTCCCAAGTTACTGAGTTACACTTAAAATAAAAGTGTTTCATTGGGTGCTGATTACACTTTTTTTTTTTCTAGTGGGGCTGGGATTGGAACCCAGGGCCTTGCAGATGGTAGGCAAATGGTCTACCACTGTTCTACATCCCTAGCTCTTGGTTTTTCTCAAACAAGGTCTGGCTATGCAGCCCAAACTGGCCTGAAACTCACTATGTGACCCAAACTGGCCTCGAACTCAAGATCCTCCTGCCTCAGCCTCCCCAGTGAATGCTGAGATCATATAGGTCTAGGTCACCACACCTGGCTGCAATCCTTCTTAAAATTCTGGGATGTGTGGAGAGGGTATGCCAGGAGGGTGTCAGTGGGAGCAAAGGCAAGCATGAGTCCTTGTAGGGCCCCAGGCCATACAGGACTATTCCAAGACTTCCTATAGGGAAGGGAAAGAGAGCCCTGCCTTGGAGAGGTGGGAGCACACTGGGAGGCAACTTGAGGAAACCTCCCTTCTGGGAAGATCCCAAAGTTCCCTAGTTCTCAGCTTTCTTCAGAATGTTAGTAAATCAAGCTAGTTACTGTCTTTGGGTGTGGATGAAGGTTCTTGCTTTGTTTTTTTTTGGTGGTTTTTTTTTTGTTTTTTTTTTTTAAGGAATTTAGGATGACTATAGTCATCAGTATTATGAAGGATTCCAGGAAATCAGACAGCAGAGAAATTTCTCAACTTTAAAAACATTGGCAACTTCTGCCCTCGTGCCTGAAGTCATTTTGATGTCTGCCTTTTAATTCTGAGCACATTGAAGCCTTCTTTCACACATTTATTTTCTGTGGGTGTGTTGGTGTTTTCTTGTGGTGTTGGGAATCAAACCCAGGGTCTTGCTCATGCTAAGCAACCTGAGCCACATCCCCAGCTCATTTGTGTTTTTTTTAATTCCTTTCTTCTGCTTCCTTTTCTGTTGCAATGTCGTACTGATTTGCAAGAATTCTTTCTATAGTAAGACTGTTTCAACTCTGCAAGACAGGGACAGGGGTATATCTGCTCTTTTTCTAGGACTCTGGATGCCATCTCTACCCACCAAGCTCTCCCAACCCTTTCCTTGGTAGACAGCAGGAATGTGGATGAAGGATAGGAAGACTGCTATCTGGGGCATGGAGGGAAGGTTCTCTGACACCCACCTGCTGGGCCTGCCCCTCCTGAGCACAGAATGCCACCTACAGTCCCTGACTCATCAGTCCTTTGTCAGGAAGTGGCTTCTGCCAAACTGCCTCCCTGTAGGGCTGCCCTGCCCTGCCCCACCCTAGAGCACTTTTGGAAACCCGGACCCAAAGGTAAAGAATAATAATTCTTTGAAGGAAGGTTGGAGCTAGAGCCTGGACTGATGCCCAGGGAAGGAAAGGGATCTGCCCAGAGCTTTCAGCAAAGGGCTCTGGCCAATGCCCCTTCCTTGTCCTGCAGGAAGGAGAGGGGCCCTTCCTTGCCCCATGGGTCCCTCTCCCTCCCCATTGGCTCTGAGCCCCAGCACTGCTCTCCCTACAAACCTGTCAGACCTGAAATAGACCAGGAGGAAAAAAAAAAAAAACAAACACCTCCAGTAAACAGCAAGGAGTGTGAATGAATCGGGATTTTGTTTTTAAGGAATATCGTATGTCTACCTCTGTTTACCTGGTTGGCATGGCCGGTTGTGCAGAAGGGACCCTGGCACCTGGCCTGGACCTCCCCTTTTTATTAATTGTTGGGTGGTGGAAGGAGCCAAAGTTTATAGTCTGTGCCACTTGTCACCTGGCCTCTGGCTGCTAAACATTCTCCTTGATCCTTCAATGGCCAAACTGTCCTCTCACCTGCTCCACCACTACCCCAAGTCCAGGTCCTAATGACTCCTACCATCAGCAACTGCCCAGCCCTTGGCTGGGGTTACCAACCTCCAGCCTACTATTTTCTTCACTGGGTGGTCAGATGGATTGCTCTAAAACACACATATAAGCCAGGCTCCAGTGGCTCACACCTGTAATCCTAGCTACTCAGAAGGCAGAGATCAGAAGGATCAAGGTTCAAAGCCATCAAATAGTTCACGAGACCCTGTCTCAAAAACCCAAAAATTGGGCTGGTGGAGTGGCCCAAGGTGAAGGCCCTGAGTTCAAGCTCCAGTACTGAGAGAGACAAAAAAAAAAAGGCATGTCATATTACTCCCCTGCCTTCAACCTTCCGTTGCTCCCAATATTCTCGAGATAAAGTCAGACGCTAAATTTGGTGCGGCGAGGGTGGGAGTGAGGGACCGGAGAGCATCCTTCCAGCCTCTCCTTTGTCCCTCTACTTCCCCTTCTCCACGCCACCCAGAACTTTTGCATCCTCCAACCAGCCATGCTCTATCCTACGTCTGAGCTTAGGAAATACCAATTCCCTTTCCCCATCTTGCCCCTCCAAGCACCATCCATTTCTCAGACCTCAGCTAAACTCATCCTTCATCAGAGAGCCTATCAGTTCCCCAACCCCTAGTTTAGCTCGGGCTCCCATTATTGCTTCCCCAGCAACTCTTAACTGTTTCTTCATCACAGTCACCACACTCCAGATTACTCTGGAGTTTATCTGTTTATCTGTTTAAATAGAGGACCAGGATGCCCTCATTCAACATGACATTCCTGGTGTCGGACGTAATGGATGCTGCTGTAACCATCTACAAAGTACAGACACCCTGGCCTGGATATTGGAGAGGAATTGGCAACAGGAGACAAACCTGACCCTAGACTTACCTGGCTTGTCCATGGACCAGCTTGTGATTGTGCCTGCAGTGGCCACGCCCATCATGCTTGAGAGCAAAGTCCATCTCACACCATCTCTCCCAG